GACAGTTAGGCCACGGGGCCCAGGTTAGACCACTGGCTACAAATTGGAGATTCACTTTGAGGCCAGGTGAGCCTCCATGCAGGTACACTCTAAGTACCTTTCGGAATAACATTATAGGATTACAGGTGATCTTAGCAGAAACCCATAGACAGGTAAGGAAACTGAAGCATGGAAAGGTTAGCCACTTTGCCCAAGGTCACACAGTCCTTTAGGAGCAGAGCCAGGATACAGTCCCAGACATTGCGACTCCTGAATCACACTCATCACCATGATACAAACTGCTTCGCACATGCAGAGACCTATTGAACGTTGGGATTAGTGAAGGCTTCTCTAACCAGGAGCATGGAAAGGGTAAGACTGGGAAAGAATCTGTCCTATGCTTCCTCCGAGGGCCATTGTGGGTAGAGCCCTTTGGGTGTTCACTCACAGCAACTGGGGCACCATGATGAGCAAGAGGGCCATGCCTGCTCCCTCCAGAGGTCAGCTTCCAGCGGGGATGGCAGTTGGCCCCCAAGCAAGCAGTAAACCGAACAGTGGGATGTGCTGTTACGGCCAATTAGAGCGAATGTGCACAGGGACAAGAAGGGAAGGCCTCTAGGCCGGGTCCACCATCACAACAATATTTCTAGAATATGACCCACCAGTTGGGAGAGTCAGTGGAGGGGAAAGGCTTCCCTGCTGCTCCCCAGATTAAAGGAGATCCCTGGAATCCTCACATGACACACAGGCCTGCCCGTGGTGGTAGCCAGCCTGTCCACTGACCCATTCTTCCATGTCTCCACGGTGGAGACCTTAGAATGACACAGAGCTGACATCAGGGCCTCTGGGTGGCCCAGAACCCACACTCTGAGCGGGTGGGGCCCAGCGGCTGGTGGCTTTGGTGTGAACCAGCTCAGACCCCTGGGTCTAAATCCCCGCTCTGCCAGCTGGCAGCTGAGTGACCTGGGCCTCAGGTAGGTCCTCACCTGACAACTCTCCTTCAGAGGGCACTATAGGAGATTTAATCATTTCCTAGCACTGGTAAATATTCAATAAATGGAAAATGGGGTTATCGGAATGACAGCTGGAACAAGCCGGGCTCATTCTAGGCCAACCCTCTCGGTTTACAGATAAAGAAGGGAAAAGGTCCTGCCCCGCTTCTCCTGACCAGTAAGCGGGGTCTGGACCAGAACCCGGGACCCTGACCCCAAGGCCAGGCCAGCTCCTCTAGCTGTTCCGCACACGTCAGCAATCTCGACCTGCCCCCCCCCCCGCCAGAAATGTTATTTTCTCCCACACGACCTGTGGTCTCCGACTCGCACCTCTGACCTCACCTCCCTCCACCCTCCTCCTGTGATCCCCACAGCAGCCACACAGACACTTGTCACTCTCCTGCTGCCGCTGTCCCCACTGCTGCCTCCACCAGCCTTGATCCTTCCTGTCGTCACACTGTATTCAGATTTTTTTGATTTCATACAAAATCATCACACACCTGAGATTTAGTTCAATCTGGGAGGAGGGAGCAAGTGAGGAAGAGAAAAGGGCTAGTTCAAGCTGATAATTGTTGAAATTGGGTGCTAAAAACACAGGGTATTTCATGCCTCTGTGTGTGTGTGTGTGTGTGTGTGTGTGAAACTTCCTAAAATTTTTGAAAACTCATATCGTGTTATTTTCCTTTTTGCAAAATGTGCACTTCCCCACAACAGAAACTGTCTTCAAACTCGTCTTATCCCTTATATCAGTCTCTTTACTTTCACGTCCATTTGACATTTTCAGAAATAAAAATGTTTCTAAAAAGCCTCTGAGGCCGTCCTTGACCATCCTCATCGCCACCCCCAGCCCCCGCGAGCACACACCCGACTAACTGCTTTCATCTTTAACTCTTACCACCACCTGGCATGCCATGTGCTTATTTGGTGATTTGCTGTCCCCACAGACTTAAACATCAGCTCCATGAGAGCAAGGACCTTTGTTTCTTTCATCGCCAGATCCCCAGAAATTGTAGTAATGTCTGACACACAGTAAATATTTTTCAAACGAACACTTGTTGAGTAGATGCCATTTGAAAGGCTCGGAAGCTAAGGTTCCGGCTGACTTAGCAACTCACTCGAAACTGTCTACCAAGCTAGTGGTGGAGCCAGAACTAGCCAGGACCTGGCAGTGGGGGTCTAGAGGTCCTCTGTCCCCTAAGATCTGAGAGTCTGGGAGCCTATTCCTCAGTCTGCGCACACACACACACACACACACACACGGGTGATGTTACCTGATGGCACGTGATCCAGGACCAAGAGAGCCATAATGAGCAGGAGCAGCAAAGCCATGGCCACGGGCTCCTGGGAGGCCACTGGGGAGAACGCAGGAGAAGGGGAGCCACGCGTGCTGAGCCCCGGCCCTGCGGCCCAGACTTTATTGGGTCGCAGATCAAGGCAGGAGTGTGGGCAGCAGGAAACATCAGGGGAAGTCTGAGGCCTTGTGGTCCCAAGGATGTAGCTGGAATGCAGCCAGGTTTGTGGGGAGCTGGTCAGCCGTACCCCGTGGAGCTTGCAGAGCTCTAAAGGTGGGGACGGAATTTCCTAAAGCAATGCCAGAGTCAGAAACTGGACTTCTGCCCCACCTGGGAGGGCAGGAAACCTTGGCAGGAAAGAGACTGTGGCAATGCCAAAGTCTCCCTCTATGTCCCACCGTGACACCTTGGACAAGTCTCTTAGCCTCTCTGAGCCCCAGGCTGTCCTCTAGGAAAAGATAACCAGTCCCCCTGTAGGCTAAATGCAGGTGATTTCCCTTCCCAGTGCCCAAGGGTGGGAACAGAAACCACTGACCCGGCAAAGAGGAGTGTGCTTTGGCTAACTGGAAAGAGAGACAGCACCCACCTCACGGAGGGCCATAGCTGAAATGAGACAGTGGTTCTCCAAGTGAGGACCCAGCCCAGCAGGCAGCAGCGATACCTGAGTCTTGTTAGAAATGCAGGTCTCAAGTTCTATCCAAAGCTACTGGATCAAAATCTCTGAGGGTGGGCCCCCACAAGTTGTGGCTTAACAAGTCCTCCCAGTGATTGTAATGAGGTGCTCAAGTTTGAGACATACTGAGAAAATGTATGTGTGGCGCTTAGAACAGCGGCTGGGGGCCCTCCCCGATGGTGCAGGGGGTTAAAGCCCCACACTGCAAAGCTGGCCGTGGCCTTCTCCGTGTTCAATCCCCGCCCAGGATCCCCGCCCCTGAGCTGACCCACATGGTGCGGCAGACCTCTCCTGTCTCGCTCACTGCTCCCCTCAGCAGTGTACTTGATCAGACTGCCTGTTGTGCTCCCCACCCTGTCTCTGGTGAATCCTCTCACCAGCCCCCTCCC